CTGAGAAAGAAAAGAGGTAGGGAGTGGGAGTTGTGGCCATGGAGAAAGAGGAGCTGATACTTCCAATGTGTATCAGAAGCAAAATTTGAACTCACCTTTCATGGCCTTTTTTAGCACCAGCAGCCAAACACCAATACCTGTGTTTTATAAAGAGTGCACTTCTACCAACTCCCGCCCTTGCAGTTTAATTTCTTAATTATTGAAAACCTCCTGTGTGCCAGGTGCTCCTCTAAGCCCTGGAGAGACCGCACTGAATTAAGCTGATATCCCTGGCCTCATGCAACTTACATTCTAGCCAAGGAGAGGGAGCAGGCCCTCAACAAGGACATCCATGTGAGGGAAGCACCATGGAGAAAATAAAGCAAGGGGAGGGGCTGAGCAGTGTATGAGGGTGAGGTGACAGAGATGTCCTCTCCAATAAGGAGGCATTTCACCAGAGACCTGTGTTAACCTAAAGGAGTCAAGAAGGTCAGAATCAACCTTCAACAGAGTTGACTCAAGCACAAAGGTTGAGGACAGGCCTGTCCAGGAAGCCCAGATTCCACAGAATGGAAGTCTGTGTTCCAAAGTGAAGTCTGGGTTCCTTTACACAGAGGAAGCTTGGGAAAGCCTAATAGAATTTCAGCATCTTCCTATGTAAGGCTTAATGCATTCATTGTTCAAATGATCTAGTAAGTCGAGGTGGTCTTTTTCTTTGGGAAAAGGTAGATTTAACCTTCCTCACTGAAGATTTAACAGTCTTGGCATCTCAGGTGTCATCTGGGCTGAGTTAGGTACAGGATAATAAAGGAGGCAGTTAATCTATAACAAAGATAAGGATTTGGTAGTGGGGAAGGCCTGGTCTCTTGTCTTTCCTAGTCATTCACAGAAGGGGAACAATGTGGAAGAGAGTTCCTCTTTCAGAATTGGAAACAGGTGGTGTAACTCAGTCTCAGGGCTTGACATCCCTCTGGGTGTAATAAACTTGGAGGGTCCTGAAACAATGTTTTCTTTGACACCTGAAGGAAGTGAGGGAGAGAACTCTATGGTTCTCTAATGGAAGAGTCCTTGGCATGTTCAAGGATCAAGAAGCCAGTATGATGATCACGGAGAGAGCAAAAAGAAGAGCAGAAGATGAGATGAGAGAAGAGCAGTGGGGCCAGAATCCTCTTGGGTCTTCTAGGCACAGTCAAGATTGAGGGTTTTGAGTGGGATTGGAGCTCCGGGAAGCTCTTGTTAACTCCTCTAAGCAGGAAGGGAGGGGTGAAGGGTGCTTGTGATAGGGTGTGAGGGTATTCATTTCATTCTCAGACCAAACAGAAATGGGTTATAAATTATTTGTTCCTGTTTTCCATGTGACAATTTTCTTCCTTTGATGCAGAGACAGAAGGAACGTTTGCTTCTGTAGATCATCTTCAGAGTGCCTCTGTGCTTCAAGATGCATGTGCACATTGGAAAGTCCCAACGCGAGTGTCCAGGGTGCTGTTGTTGCCTTTTTTGTTGCAAACACTTGTCTTGAGGTGTTCGCCTTCTGACTTAAACCTAATCAGGGAATTGAATACCACGCCTGTTAAGAGATCATATTTTATATAAGCTGTTTTTGAGAGAATGGTGAATGACTGATTCCTCAGAGGGAATGCCTAGCTGACCTCAGTCCTTATTTCCTGTATGTGTCACTACGAGCTCTTTGACCAGAGAGTCGAGTGTTGAACTAAATGATATTTCAGGGTCCTTTCTCTCCTCCAAGTCAGCAGTGAAATGGAAAAGCAGGGGCTTCAGAACCAGCCAGATCAGTTTCCACACCAGCTTTATGAGTCAGAAGCCTGAGGACATGGGCATGTGACTTAATGTCTGGAACTTTCCTCATCTGTGTCTATCAATATTAGGGTTTTTTTGGTAAAAGGACTGCAAGGACAGGTATCAAATATTAGCAGTGTTATCTCTGGGGTGAGTGATTTTTCTTCTTTTCCTTAAAAAAATTTGTGATTTAATTCTTTCCTACAGTGAAACAAATATTGCTCCGATAGTGGAAACATGATTCTAAGCAAAGCTGTGCAAGCTGACGTGGCATGGGGTGGGAAGAAGGGGGTTGGGGAGGCGGTGTTTAGGGTTCAGAGTCTAAGTTGGCCTCATTCTGGTTTCAGCTCTGGAAGGAGTCAAGAACAAGATCCCAGAGCCCATCCCATCCCTCATGGATGACATACTGAGGGCTCAGGAAGATGCCCCTTTGCAGCCTACCCCAGTTCCAGGCTGAGTCACCTGAGTGGCTTCCTTCAGAAAGCCTCTTGTGCCACAGGCACCCCCAGAATGAAGTATATCTTCAATTGAACAAGAAATAACATGAATAAAATATAAGTAAAATGTAAAGAATAAAAAATACACTGCCACACTGGTATGGCAGGAGGGTGAAAGTCGAGCCCCTCACAATAGGTAATGTCTATAAAAGGACAACTGAGGCCAGCACCAAAGTCCACCTGCAGAAGGCGGGACTGTCTCAACACCAGTCACTGTGAACCTTTAGAACTGAGGCTCTGGCTTCTTCCAGCCACTTGCCCAGATGTCAGTGAGACCACTCCACAGGAGATGGGGGGGAGCTGTGTGTCAGGAAAGCCCCAGCCACTAGGACAAGCTGCACCCCAGGCAGATATTCCTGCCCTTGTGCAAAGAACAGAAGAACCCATTCACGTTCACAGCGGCAGGTGGTACTTGAAAAGGTAGGGGTCAACTTGCAGGGCAGAAGTTAGCAGGGGAAGCCTTCCTGGGGGAGTGGGAGAGCCCAGAAGAGTTTAGAAGGAGGGAGGGGTAATACCAGGACAATCCTCTGAGTCCCTCTGTCCTCCTCAGGCAATGTTCAGGAAGACCTTGCAGTCTCTGTAGGCTCATGGGAGCACCCAGAACTGAGACAACACACAGATCCAGGCCACTCTAAGCTCTGCCTCCATTTGTACAGGGCACATTTGTGTGTGTGTTCTCTTCTTAATAAAGCCAGCAATCATTGGACTAGATAGGGCCCACTCTAATTCACTGTGAGCTCCCCTTTCCTTAGTAACATCTGCAAAGACCCTATTTTCAAACAAGGTCACGTTCCGGGTTCTGGATGGACATTAATTTTTCAATGTACATTAATGGACATTAATTAATGTTTTCAATGAACATTAATTTTTCCAGTACATCTGGAACAGAGCAGTCAAGGGCAGAAGAGATCAACCTGAGGATGAGGGTTGGATGCAGAGTTTTGATACAAGGGTGATCAGAGCTAGGGTCTAAGCAATACTGGTCTGCTTTCTTGGAGGAGAATTTTCCCTTTTTCCTTCTGCCCTTCAGCCAGGGCTGTGGCCACCTCCTCTCTCGTATCTGGCTTTTAAAAGCCAAATGGATGCCACAACTTCTAACACATCTAGATCTGCAGCTAAAATATTCCAAAAACTCCAGCAAGGGCAAAATAATCTCAGGCCCAGATTTGCCACCAGTGCCCTCTTCTGGGCAGCTTTATTTTTAGTAGTGTCATGAAACACTTGTTTAATTGTCAATATATGTATGTGTGCACTGTCACCAGAAAATATATTTATGTCTGTTGGTTACAGCCTAAAAAGTTTAAGAAACCGTGGTTAGATGTTTTCCTGGTCAGGAAAGGCCAAACTAAAAAGGGCTCTGTGTGTGTGTGTGTGTGTGTGTGTATGTGTAAGAGAAGAGAGAGAGATGGGGGCTCCCATTCCACTAAGGAGGGGTGTGTGTGTGTGTGTGAGAGAGAGAGAAAGAGAGAGAGATAGGCTCCCATTCCACTAAGGAGGTGTGTGTGTGTGTGTGTGTGTGTGTGTGAAAGAGAGAGAGATGGGGAATCTCATTCCACTGAGGGGTGTGTGTGTGTGTGTGTGAAGAGACAGAGAGATGGGGGCTCTCATTCCACTGAGGAGAGGTGTGTGTGTGTGTGTGTGTGAAGAGACAGAGAGATGGGGGCTCCCATTCCACTAAGGAGGGGTGTGTGTGTGTGTGTGAGAGAGAGAGAAAGAGAGAGAGATGGGCTCCCATTCCACTAAGGAGGTGTGTGTGTGTGTGTGTGTGTGTGTGAAGAGACAGAGAGATGGGGGCTCCCATTCCACTAAGGAGAGGTGTGTGTGTGTGTGTGAGAGAGAGAGAAAGAGAGAGAGAGATGGGCTCCCATTCCACTAAGGAGGTATGTGTGTGAAAGAGAGAGAGATGGGGGCTCTCATTCCACTGAGGGGGTGTGTGTGTGTGTGTGTGAGAGAGAGAAAGAGAGAGATGGGCTCCCATTCCACTAAGGAGGGGTGTGTGTGTGTGTGTGTGTGTGAGAAAGAGAGAGAAATGGGCTCCCATTCCACTAAGGAGGTGTGTGTGTGTGTGTGTGTGTGTGTGAAAGAGAAAGAGAGAGAGATGGGCTCCCATTCCACTAAGGAGGTGTGTGTGTGTGTGTGTGTGTGACAAAGAGAGAGAGATGGGCTCCCATTCCACTAAGGAGGTATGTGTGTGAAAGAGAGAGAGATGGGGGCTCTCATTCCACTGAGGGGTGTGTGTGTGTGTGTGTGTGAGAGAGAGAAAGAGAGAGAGATGGGCTCCCATTCCACTAAGGAGGGGTGTGTGTGTGTGTGTGTGTGTGTGTGTGTGTGAGAAAGAGAGAGAAATGGGCTCCCATTCCACTAAGGAGGTGTGTGTGTGTGTGTGTGTGTGTGAAAGAGAAAGAGAGAGAGATGGGCTCCCATTCCACTAAGGAGGGTGTGTGTGTGTGTGTGTGTGTGTGTGAAAGAGAGAGAGATGGGGGCTCCCATTCCACTAAGGAGGGGTGTATGTGTGTGTGTGTGTGTGTGTGTGTGTGTGTAAAAGAGAGAGAGATGGGGGCTCCCATTCCACTAAGGAGATGACAGAGGCTATGCAGGTGTTTTCCCTGTTATCTCCTCTCCTCCTACAAATCATGCCCAGAGGAGGGATCTCAAAGACTTGCCCCTTGCCTCCCCAGACCCATCTCCACACCCAGGCCAGCCTGTGCAGCGGGCAGCAGAGCTCACATCTCTGTGGACAGCAAGCTGGGCTCACTGCAGGCCTCTGTGTCATTGTTCATCTTCACTTCATAGGTCTCATTCTGAGGCCTCTCCTGAAACACCATGGCTATCTGGCTGTCCTGGGAAAAGCATCTGCAATATTCAAGATAAAGAAAATCATCAGGAACTGCCAACCCTCCTCCCCTTCTCTCAGCAAGAAAGGCATCACACATGCACATATACAAACATACACAAACAAATGAACATGTGTACACACATAGGCATACACACACATGAACATGCTTGCAATTTCTATGGCCTCATTTCTCTTTTATGGCTGATGAAGCCATGGAGCCATGGAAGCATTAAGATTAGGGAGAGGGTTCCATGTGGGAGGATGTCTGCTGCAGATCCAAGGAGATCTGAATCCTGACTCCAATTCACTTACCCTCTGGCCCAAGTCACTTAGCCCACCCCATGCCTCAGTTTCTCTTTCTATGAAATAGAAATGACATATGCCCTGCCTGACTCAGAGGCCTGTTGTGAGTCACAAATAAAGCAACAGATAAGACGGCGCTTTGAGATTGGGAAGAGCCAGCTTTGACCGAAGGGTCTTGGGCTGTGCCATAAAGAGTAAGGTAGGCCTGTGAGGAGGCTGCCCTCCCACCCCCAGCTGTAAGAGCTGGGTCTTTGGGTGTTAGTTTGGCAGAGCTGAGATGTCTGTGGCATCCTATTTTGATGGTGCCCTTGATACTGACACCAGCTCCCTGAAGTAAAGGCACAGAGAAGAAACTTCACTTAGGAGGGTTTCTTCTCCTGAACAGAGGTCAGTGTCTGAGTCCCTCCTGAGCCTGAATCCCTCCTGATCTCCAGACCCTCCCACACCAGAACATGTCTTTCCCTATGAGTCAAGGTTCTACTGCTCACTGGGTCCTATCTTCTTTAGCTCTGAGCCACGAGCTCTTCCTTTTCTTGTCTGTACTCAGACTCCAGAAGGCATCAGAGAAAGATCCCAGTCCATCCTCTCAGAGCTGAGTGCTGGATCAGTGCCCCTAGCTTTGAGCATCTCAGGCAGGGTAGAGGCAGTTCTTTGTTGGAGATGCCTGCAGATTCCCACCTGCCCTGCAGTGGGAAGGAAGATGAGAGGTGGGAGCACCAGGTGGACTGGGAGGGGAGGGAGATGGAGTGGGCTTTGGTGAGGCACAGGGGGATGAGCTTGAGATGCAGAGTGGTAGCAGGCAGGCAACAGCATTTCTGGGGACCACAGGGCACAGGACATGATGACCTGTTCTCAGTACAAGCAATGCCAGGGCCTGTGCTGCCCTTAGCTTTGAGGACAAGCCCCGGGAATTGGAATGTGGGCTATGCTTTTCTTTACCAAACTAACGCTTGGCACCCTGAATGTTGTTTGTACCAACTGCAGTGGGCAGAGAGGGAACCAATGCTTTACGAGCACTGACTGTGTCTTGTGCACTGTGCTGGGTGCTTTGTGTTTTGTTTCATGGAGAGATGTATTTCTGGGGAGAGGGAAACCCCTGAGAATCCCCGATTTCCTCTAAACCCTCCCATCCCAGGTCCTCTAAAAATCCCTCTCCCCTTAGGTCACAGAGAACAAAGCTTCACAGGAAAATGCCCTTAGAAGGAGAAGATTTAATTTGCCCTGAGATGTTAAAGATGGCCATGGAGCCCTCCTTAAGCAGAGGTTTTCAGGAGACCAACAAGGAAGAAGGCAGTACAGGGACCCAGCATGTCCTCAACTTTGGCTAAATAAACCTATAATCAATTGAGACATGTCACAGTCACTTTTTGGTTAACAAGGTTAACTGAGCCACAAGCACCAAAGTCCACCTGAAGAAGTTGCGTTTATCTATGAACCACATGTGAGTCACTGTGACTATTTAGAACTGGGTGCTAAAGCTTATTCCAGTTGTTTGGATGTCAGTGAGGCCACTTCACAGTAGACTTTCCCACCTTTGCTCTCATGGGATGGAAAACTTTGGATTAGGACAAAGGAGGCAGACTTGATCTTGGAAGATACCTTAGGCTTCTTGTCTCTTATCTCTCTAGGAAACTGTTGGTTGTCAGTATTTATACTAGGGGTAAGCCCACGTGACAGAAACAGCTCTGGAAGTATCTTCTTGAGTTTTCAGGAAAGGTTTCACTGACACATGAAGAGAGTAGGGCAGCAGAGCAGCATCAGGTTTAGTTTTCAATTCCCTTTTCCACCTCCACATGTGTTGGGTGAAATTCCAGGGTTGCCACACTCACGTGAGCATATCTGGATTACAGATGAGAACATAAGAAGGTGGGCTGTGGGTTACACACAGTGGAGTGCTGCTGACTGTAGGCCCGTCATGTAAGAAAGGACATCAGATTGCCATAGAGCGTGTTATGTTATTGTTGGAATAACTGGAGTCCATTGTAATTTATTTTTTAAAATTGTTCTGAAGTTTGATCCCGTCTACCACATAGTAGTTGAAGGGTATCCCATTTTCCCTGACTTTTTCTGTTCTGAGAAAAGACAGGGTGCCTCTATTGTTCTGTGACCCCACCAGCTGCATATTTTGCCCCACAGACTGGAACCCAGGGCAAGGATTTGAACATTCCCAGACACCTATAAAGATGTTTAGGTTGTTGCCCCAAACACTGAAAGGAACTGGCCAGGCCATGAGCCAAATGCCTTAATCTCTCATCAACTCCATTCCCTGATCCCTGTGCTGCAGACCTCACTAGGTAGAGCACCCCCTTCCCTAACTACCTATCTGGAGGATATGGTGAAACTCAGTTTCTACCTAAGCTCTCATTATAATAGCTTTGAACCAATCACTCTGGCATCCAGTGCTTCTTTCTCTGGGATTCCAACTGTCCCCATCTTGGGATGGATTGGGGTACTCCCTTATGGGAACTCCCCTGATGCCAGATGCCACCATTGGGGCAACTCCAGCTGTGAATCTGCCAGGAAAGAACACAGGCATTACTCACTTGTTCTTTATGCTCCTTCAAAGGTCAGAGCTCAGTTTCCTTACACCTGATTTCTCATCTACAAAATGGTATTTATAATGCCTCTGTGGAACTGTCCTCCAATATCCTTCTTCCTTTTTAAAAAACCATGCATTTGGCTGCCTGGAATGGAGAAAATGTTTTCCACCCTCCCCTGCAGCTCAGTGAGGCCACGTAACTAAGTTCTGACCAAGCAGTGGAAGGCAGAGTCCCACATGGCACTTTCAAGAAGTGTTCTTAAAGAGCATCCATTTCTGTCCTGCCTGTCTTCTTCATGACTAGAATGTAAACATGATGCCTGGGGCTAAACAGTGGTCTTAAACCATCAGGAGGAAGTGATACATTAAAAAGTGGAAGAGCCAAAAGGCAGAAAGAACCTTGATCACTTATGCTAGCAGAGATGTTCATCATTTTGGACAGTTTACCTTAAGACTTTGTTCACAAGGGGACAAGGGAGTGTGAGTTTTCTATCACAGGCAAACCCAATCCTGATGGATTCACTTAATCTATCAACATTGTTGTGAGGATTTAAGGAGATACTATAAAGTGCTTAGCATGTTTTCTGGCATGAAGTCAGAGGGTGACTTATTTTTTTCTCAAAAGTAATGAAATATTAAGGCTATTGAAACTTGGTTCTGAGAACACTGAAAGATGTGGAAAGCCCACAGAAACTGCTTCCACATTGGCCAGAAAGGACTGACATTATATCTTGAAACTTGGTCATAATCAGAATGTTTTTCATTGCTTCTAAGTTTTATGTACTATTGGATAAAACTGGAACAGTACTAACTTCACATTAGGGAAAATCCTGTTTGCCTGAATATGGCTATTGCTTTTCTTGAGATTATAGATTATTCATTAAACACAGCCTCAGAAATACAGGACCTTCAGCAGAGATAAAATACACTGCCAACTCTGGGAATGGGCTAAGTGGCTTGATAAGAATAGCCTGACAGCACCTGCAGAAGGTCACAACATTAACTGAGAAAAGAGTGATTGCCTGCCTGCCTGCCTGCCTGAGACTGCACGTTTCACAAGAATGCTTTGATCAATCAGTCAGTACAGTGATTCAGACTGGTATTTCCAATACATCAGGAGGCTGAGTTGAGAGGATTGCTTGAGCCTAGGAGGATGAGACCAGCCTGTGCAACACAGTGAGACCCTGCCTCTACGAAAACTAATATAATAATAATAATAATAGCTAGGTATGGTGGTCAACATGCCTGTCATCTTATCTACTCAAGAGATTCACTTGCGTGCAGGAGGTCAAGGCTGCATTGAGCCAAGATAACACCACTGCACTCCAGTCTGGGTGACAAAGTGAGACCCTGGGTCTAAAAAGAGAGAAAGAAAAAAGCTAAGGCTATTTTCAGGTTAGTTCACGTTTCATAACAAAAACTTTTTGTGAAATGCTTCAATCACTGTTTGCACTTCTCCTAATTTCCTTTAAAACCTCCCAGATCAGAGAGGTGGTCTTTGAAAATGAGTTCACAGCCTCCCTTGAGTTTTTGGCTTTCTGAATATAACTAACTTTCCCTTTCACCAACCTCTGTCTTAGTCTTTTGGCCTGCCAGCAACAGATGGCCTAGATCTGGGTTTGGTTACAAATTTTGGTAAACCCAGCCAGAAGCCATGTGCTCTAGGCTATTTGCCTGATCTCCCAACAGACAGAGCAATTAATCAAAGCATCATACCAGGGCTAACTCATCCATGTTGTCGGGGAAAACTTCCTGGTTCCCAAGAGGTGGAGCAATTGATGATGGCAGCAGGTCAGTGCTAACTCACTCACATTATCAGAGGTTAGCAGCAAATGCTCCGTGGCACTGGCTACTCATGGTTAAAGGGAGTTAGAGAGACAGCCCCAAGGTCTGCCAAAGAGAGGCTGCCAAAACTCTTTCTACTTCAGGGAAATTTCTCCTTTCCCCCAAATCAGTGCTGACTGCCTACTTTCACTTTTAGTTGATGAAAGAAAACTAGCTTTTCAGATGAGCTGGTGAGTTCTACAGCCAGCTAAGTCTACTGGGGTGCAAAGTAGCAGTCTACTTTCTTTACCGTTTGGGCCTTTGGGCCATTTGTGGTACTACTGGTAGAAGAAATGACTCATAGTGACTACACACCAGTCTATTCAGTCTATTCCTTTATGAAAGCTTGGG